TCCTACCCTCCAGCAGATTGACATTCCCATCCAACTTGGTGTCACCTGCAAATTTACTGAGGGTGCCCTCAATCCCCACATCCAGATCATCTATAAAGACATTGAACAGCACTGGCCCGAAAACTGACACCTGAGGAACACCGCTAGTAACCAGCCACCAACTGGATTTAGCTCCATTGATTACGACTCTCTGGGCCCGGCCATCCAGCCAGTTTTTTACCCATGTAAAAAACATAGTAAATAGGTGAAGCATCACATTACAGTGGAAGCTACTGGCACATGCAGCACCTTCTCCGTGCTGCAGTCCTTGGCTTGTACAATAATGCACGTTTTTGAGCTGGAGATAGCCTCAGAGAGAGTCATATAGACTGGGATTTCTGTGTCTACCTGCTTCTGTGGTTGGCTAGTGAACACACTGTTAGTCTATCAGAGTAGATGATCAAGACCACTTCTGTATCCCGATCATGCTGTCACTCAAGATTTGACCTCCCTCCTTTCCTCTGCTTATCAAGTCCCCCAGTAAAAGGACACTGTTCTGGTCAGTGCAACATCTTAAGTCCTCTATCATATCCCTGATTGTTGTCAATACTGTGCAAAGTACAGCAGACCACAGCCATCTAAGGGCTTTGTCTATACGGGAGGTGCTGCTGGCATCTTCTTACTACCTCATCCCACTGGTCAGTGCATAACTAACCTCATCTTTGCAAGGTAGGCTAAAGTTAGATCACCTGGTTACATGAGCATGGCAGGAGTGGCTAAGCAGATTCCCCTGCAGTGAAGGGCTTAGGCAGGCTATTGCAAACTCTGTTCTTTTAAGCATGCCTGCTTGGCCAAGCACTTAAACATCAAATGCCTTTACCACACTATTATCATAACTCCTTCCTGTGATTCACACTGCCGTTCAGCAGCCTGCCACTGTGGGTTACTGAGGTCACGGAAGGGTGGAGTGAGACCTTTTAGAGACCGCTTGTTTGAGAGCAGGGGAGGCCTCCCCAAAACCAACAAAACATGGACTTGCAATGCTCCCAATAGCCCTAGCATTCCTGGGGAAACACAGTTTTTCCAAATTAGATATTGCTAAGTCAAGGACATTTGCAGTTTTCTGCTAGGAGACAGGGAAAAAAAAAAAAAATCCCACCTCAAACCTCTCCACATCCACAGTGTCAACAATTCATTGGCCAAAAGCTTGTTACAGCTTGCTTCAAAGGGAACAGTCTCCCTTATTTTAATATCCTTATGCCACAGATCAAAGCAAGCTCTTCTCTGCCCATGAACTCTGCCTCCTAGGGTGACCAGAGGCAACTTCTAGCCTAACTTAGCACCAAATCACCAGCTTCTACCAGATGCGCAGCTAGATAGTGTGGCAATAACAGAAACAGCTCCTTCAGCAGTTCTGGGGCTGATGATACTAATAGAAACAAGAAGCCTGCAGAACTGAGATGTAAAAGGACCTAGGAAGATAGGCAAGTTTCCCCTCATCCCTTAAGCAGCCTGGGGCCAGTTACCACAATGTAGTTTCTGAAGTGCAAATAGCTGCAACGTGAAGCTGCAGAAGACTGTGTCACAGACCATCAGCGATGCTTCTGCCCAGTGCACGTTTGCACGGACATAAGCACGATGCAAGCAGACCTTGTAGGACGGTGCAGGGCAGGCTCAACTCGTCAAGGAAGCGGGGTTGACTGATCCTTTGCTGCCTCGTGGAGGGCATGCAGGGTACTCGCAGCACAGCAGGGAGGATGCATAAGCATGCTAAGACAATACTTCCCAAGACTTATCATCGCAGATGACAAGAAAAATGGGAAATAAGGAGGGGAGGAACCAAAAAACTGGTATCTTGGAGCAGTGCCCAGGAAGCCCCTAAGCTAGGGGTATACTGAGGGACTAATAACAGCATGGGCAAAGCTAAGCCCTGTAGGCTCAAAATAAACGTAACAGAAACCACAGCTGTTCTGAACAATCAAACCAGGAATGTGGATGCATAGAAAAACTCTCCCAGCACTCACCTGTGAAAGAAACAGTTTCTATTCATTACAGTGCTGCCTCTTGTTTAGGGAGCTGTGGGGTTGGCTAAAGTCTTGGGTAAGAGATGGAGGAGAGGAAGAAGAGTTTATTGGTACCACAGCAACAACAGATTATTGCTACACTGGAAACGCACATGATTCACCAGAGGTTCTCTCGGTATAAGATCTTCTGGAGCCAAGCAGCCTGTGGGTTAGTAGCACTATGCCTACATAAGATGTAGGTCTTCACATTCAGTATCAGTGTTACAGTAACTTTTTAAGACAATTACCCTAAACAAAACAGAGATACAGAGATGTTAGAGGGAAACATATTCACAGTTACAGCACAAATAGCAGTTTCATAGTTGGCTTTATTAGCTAGCAGAAATTGCTCAAACTTTGTGCTACTGACCTGTTAACTGCCACAGACCAGGTCCAAGGCAGACGATGGAGTTACAGGCACATCCAAGTAGGACAATATTTCTGAAATTTCTGCATAGTTCTAAAAGCTGCTCAATGTTTCAGTTAATATGCTTGGAAAATGCTGGGAGAGATGCTGATTTAGTAGAAAGCCCTGGTAGCAAGAGTTTGGAATTATATATGTTTTGAAGACTTTTCATTTGCAGACTCCACCTGGAAATGCAAAGTCTTTCTGAAACCTGAGTTGTGTTTGGTCTCTTCGACACACAGTTCTGTCACGATTATGAGAATTGTTTTTGACCATATCCCATGGACAGGGCTGGGACCCTCCATAATTAACAAACTATTACAGCTGGGTTTAAAAAGCCAAAGATATTAGTAGGAAAAGTAACGCCACCTGTGTTGTTTGGAAAGGGTAGGGGGACTTTAATGTAACAAACATGCTTGCCATGGGTTATGCTTCTAAGATTCCATGTACATCCAAACTCTCGAGTCATGTGAGAATACCAGGGAAAAATAACTTAAAGTTTTGTAATCTTTATAAGGTCGCTGTCAAAAAAATTTGCACATGTACATAAGCTAAAGGGTAATTTTCATGGTACAGTTGTTTTTTCTGCCATTATAAGGGGGGGTTGACCTAGGATTTAAAAAAAAAAAAAAAAAAGGAAAAAACCCCAATCACCTCAAGTGTACAGACATTAGCAGGGTAAGTGGCAATAGAAATAGGCATATATTTCTTTGGACCTCACAGTTTTCAGTTGTATGCAATAGAGCTTACACAAAGTAAACTCTGTTTCTCTTCTGAATTTTGCTAACACTGTGCTCCTGGCATAGTATGGAAAAGACCATACACTCTGCAAGGCAACATCAAGTCCTCAGTTTGTCTGTGTCCCATTGACAGGGCTGTCAGTGCGACAGGATACCCACTGCTTGACGTAGCTCCGTGGAAAGTTCTCCCCCTCCTGCTCAAGAGGGATGGACTCACAGTTGGTCTGACTGTTTTGCTCAAATTCACAGTCAACTGGACTCCCACAGTCCGAGTCCACAAAGCCACTGTCAATAGTGTCCAAATCTACACAGATCATAGGGTAACTGTCACCAGGCCTTGCAATGTGAGGGAAGAAATCATAGGAGCCTTCACTGTAGGAAACACTTTCACCATCAGGAGAAGGCAGAGAACCTGGATTTTCCAAATCCCACTGATTAGGCTGCAAGCAAAGGGCTTCTAGGATGCTCCCCACCCCTCCTTCCAAAGCCCTTTCTACTTGCTGGTGGGCTGGGACACTTGTGCTCCTCAAATGGTCTGTGGACACAGAGCCTGAAGCAAGTATTTTATCCTGTGTGCTCAGGTCAGCCAGATGCAAGTCACTGGATATCTTTCTGTCTTCATCATCAACATTAACCTTGGGGTAACCAGTTTCTCCAGCACTGTCTTCCTCGCTGGTATGCTCATGTGCCCTGTACACACGGTTACAGTTGCACTGGCAGCTACAAGGTGTAAATTCATCGGCCACAGTCACAGTATCAATGGACAAATGCCCATATGACTGGTCCTGAGTCCCACTGCTACTGTTCACACTAGACAGCAGGGACTGGCTATCCTGACCTGCGGTAGTTGGGCAAGACACGCAGGGCTTCCAAGGCAGATCTCTTCTCAGCTCACGCAGCTCCTCCCGTGAGGTGCTGTTGGAAGGACGCATGGTGTAAACTTCTAGGACTTCTGGAAGGACTATTCCCCATTCAAAGAAATCGAGGGTCATTTTCATATGGGATGCACCAACCCACTTCTGCATAAAAGGACATACAGGGAGAGAGAGGTTAGTATTGTCAGGTTTGAGGTTCCACAGAACAACCAAAGTTCTTATGCTTTTAGAGGCAAAGTCAAACTCTAAAATCCCTGACTCCTTCAAAACAGCAGGGTATGAGATGCTGTTATTACCAGACATAGGCAGTTGCAGGAGAACTGACTCAAGTAACAGAAAATAATTAGCTCTGAGAGATTTGCATGGCTTTGCAGTTTTCTTTATACTGCAAAGAATGCCACTGCCCATAGCAGCACTCCTTCGTGCATCAGCCAGAGGTCAAAACCCAAGCCGCCAAGCGCCCCTTTCCCTCTTGTTCTCAACACTGCTTCTCTCAGGATGGTCAGCTTCTCCCTCTGTGTGCTGCATCGGTATGCAACAAACACATAGCCCTGCTCTGTCACTTCCCTTGCCTCAGTTCCCTGGGAAGGGGGTCAGGGCAAGGCTTCTCCCCATCTTATGTATGCAACCATGCTTCAGATCAGCCTTTTCTCTCACAGCGAGAAGAAGGAAGTAGGGATAGGCTGGGAATGGGGACCTCAAAGCACTGCCTGCTGCAAATAACACTTACTCAGATGATTAAGGAGTGCCACACATTGAATCTTGCCCTTCTGTATCACCATTAGTATTACATTCTGCCCTGGGCCATGCGTTTTCTCTAGATCATGAGCCCCTTGCACTCAGTCTCATCTGGGAGTAAAGGCACCTCTGGGTTTCTCTGATATAAGAACAAAGTAAAAGCTTCTGTTCTTTTTAAAGAAGTCACTGTATCAAACAGTCAGATCACAGCAAACTTTAGGTATGTGGCATTAATGAATGCCAGTAAGTTGCACTAGAGGACCCAGCAGTCCAGCGGCTGGCACAGCACAGACTCAAGGCTTGGTTCTGCTCCCTGTCTGACACTTACCTAATGGCTCAGCTGTGTCAAGGCTCTTCTAAGTGCACCACTTTCTGCTGCTATAAAATAGGTAGCAACGCTGAGCTTCGTAAACACTGTGAGGGCTTCTAACAGAGTGCTGCACAAGAGCTGGGTGTTGCCACAGCTGTCAGACTGCCTTAATTGTATCGGCCTCCTGTCCCAAACTGCACTCAGCATAACTAGACATGAGCAAAGCATTTGGGAAGGGAACAGCTCGACACAGCTTATTACCATTTGACAGAGAGCATGGAAAAATCTTCATTACAGCAGGAAGCACCAAGTCTATTTTAATGTATTTTTAACCTAAGCTACAAAGATCTTATTATTAAAGCTGAAATGGACAGAAAGGCACCTAAGGTGCAAAAGGCTATTTGAAGAAACAGTAGGCAATCCCTTTCTTAGAATTGAGCAGGCAGAATATTTCCTATTCCCTCTTGACAATTCTTTGCAAATTCCTGCCCAAAGTGAATCTAAGGACCCATATACATACAAGAGTAAACAATGTTCCTCTGCTTTCCCTTCTCTTTTTATGTCTTAAACTTTTCCTCTAACATTTTCACTGCTTCCTACCTAATCTAGGACTGTTGCCTGCAGAGTATTGCTATTGTAATTTGCTGATCATTATTCATAGACATAACCTAACCACTTGCTTTGATGCAGGCAGGATGCAGTTGAATAAGCCCTACATCAATTGGTTTCTTGCCAGCCAAAAGTGACAAGTCTGCTCACGTATTAGTGATGTCACCACATCCTCTTGACACCCCCCGCCTGTGCATCTTGTGCTGTGGCTGGGTGGGCAACTGCTGCTTTAATCTGCAAATTTACTAAGTAGTAACTCAGCTTTAGGAACTGAGGCTCGGGCAACTGCTGCTTTAATCTGCAAATTTATTAAGTAGTAACTCAGCTTTAGCAACTGAGGCTTATTCCCTTTCCGGCAGCACCGAACGGCCTAACTAGAAACTAGCAAGAACCTAATTCCCACAGAACAGAGAACCCTATGGCTTCACCCTGAGAGGAGCATGGCTCTTGGCATGCAGGGTGCTTCCCCTTCCGCTGTGAGTGCTAGCCTGTGACTCTCAGGAATTCCCACACTGAGTCCACCTGACAGCAACCGGTACCACCTGCCTCACAAGAGGATGCAAGTACCCCTTTGGTGCAGATATGGGAAGCCATAATAGGGCTGAAAGAGGAAGGCAGGAAGGAAGTGAGCAGTCACTGCAGGCGTCAGCCTGAAGGCACCCATCCAAGCCTACTTGCTTAACCTAATTGCAAACATCAGCTATGCAGCAGTGGGAAAGTACATGAAGCTCATTAGGGCCTAGCTGATGTCCCTCTCCCAGAAGAGGGTCTAAGAAAAAGCAGAAACAAAAAGCAGACACTGAAGTGTGTCTGATCAGTGCTGCTGTAGCAACAGGAACTTGTTCAGAAAGAGGCAGTGATGTCTGCACTCACATGCCAGCACTTTTACAGTTTGATAATGGCATTGTGAGTTGCTCTTCAGCTTAATATAGCCATTATTTATGGACGCTCAATGCTCTTTTACTTTTGTATCCTGAAAACTCCAGCAAACTCTGCAGTCTTTGCAAACTGTTTTGTCACATAAGCAAGTTTGGGTGGTGTTAAATGAGAAGAGAATATGGGAAGGCTTGGCAAAGTTACTCAAAGACACTTCCTTCATAGAGAGGCAGCTGCACTGTACTATCACACAGCAGTTATTTGCCCTTGAAGCTCTGGCCATCTTTCCAGGATGATATGCAATAGCTATTGTCTGTACGAGTGACTCTTCAGAAAGAACTGCATGTTGAGCTCGTGTCACTGCAGAGGCTGGAGTGGGAGATCTGGGTCCATGGCCTTGATGGCAGCATGGGACTGGAGCTTTGGAAAAGTCCCGGTTACTGTCCTAGTATCCTTTTGTCCACTCCTTTCAGGTTCCCAGATCATGTATGAGCTCAGCTCACCCACTGAGACAGCACCTACAGGGAATAAGCGGCACAGCCATGACATAAAGGCCTTCATGGCACAGAACAGACACCGGAGAGCTCTGGTCCTTATATCTGGAGCCGTTTGGGATTCCCTTGAGATAGATTCCCCTCCCCCCTGCCCTAATGAGAATCCCTTGTCCCAGATAGCGTGATGGGCCTTTTAGTTTAACTTCGTCATGTGCTCCACTCGCTTGTGTAGCCTGTTTATACCTTGAAATCTCCATTATGCACCAGGTAAAGAGGTTTGAAAAAGGAAGCAGGATCTGGGATGCAAGCCATCTTCTTCCACAAGCTGGAAGAGAAAAGAGAAAGGCTTTGGGGTTAAGCGCATATTACAGATGCAAAGCAAGGCATCTCCAGATCCAATTCAAGCAGCTGAAATCACCTGCCCAGCCTCACAAGTTAGCAAGTGGCTGAGGATCCAAGGATGTCTTGTGCTGTCAGAGCCATCTAATGGCCTTTCTTGTGAGCCTCACAGGAGGTGGGGCTTCAGCCCTCAGGACTCCAGATACAATATTCACACCAAGGAAAGAGGTTCCAATTTTTTCCTTCCTGAAAAAGTACGAAGTGCTGGAAATGCATTTTCCTCTCAGGCTGGGCTCGCTGGTGGTCTGCATCTGCAGGCCAGAACCCTGCCCTATGCATTCTTTCTGTGGCTGTGGGCCACGCCAGCCCTGTTGCTGCCCCAGCCCAGCACCCTCCTCTGTGGTAGCGTGCACCCCATCCCTCTGCAAAGGCATGTGACCCTCCAAAAAAAGCTGTGTCAGCTTAGGAAAGGGGCAGGCCAGCCCTAGCTGCTGCTGCCATCTGGCAACTGAAGAACACAGACAGGACCAGGAGAGCAGCCCAGGAGGCTGGGTGGCCCCTGCTCAGTCCCCATGTGCCATTGTCTTGTACCAACCAGCTGAATGGCAGCAGAGCCCCAGAGAAAAGCAAGGTGCTCTTGGCAGTACACCAGCTGGAGACCATACTTTGCTTGTCCTCACAGGCCCATAGCTATGTCTGTGCATGGATATACAAGGTGCAAAGAAGGCTGCATGTGAACACCCCATCTTTCAAGACAGAACAGGAGCATTTACTCCAGCTTCCTGAAGCATTCTTACCTCCACTGTTTGGCCAGAAAGGTTGTGATTGAGGCAGTGATTGCCACGACAACACCAAACAGCAGCAGCCATCCCATGCCTGCTGTCTGTGTCACTGCTGGAGAAAGAGACAGGGTCATTCAGGCTCACCTTGCATTTCTACCCTGGTCAATAAGCAGGAGATGGTGACGAGACACCCTCAGTTTCTACCCCAGGCTTTCTCTTAGGGACACTAAGGCTGTCACTTGGGGCCCAACACTCCAGACATGAGGTCTGAATGAGGATGCTCAGAGAAGACTGCATTGATGAAGGGAGCAGTGCATCAGCTGCCCTATGGCCTGACGGCACTGCAGACCGACAGCCAACATGCTTGGAGAAGGACAGCTCCCTACTACAAAGACCTCTGGTGTTTCTGACTCCTCTTGATTTAGGGACACCTCCACAGATGATCCATGAAGCGAAAAGAGAGTGTGGCTGACCAGAAACATGTGAAGGAAAGGTGTTGACTTGATGAATGCTTGTTGGCTGCTCTCTGCCCGTGATGGAAAGGAGGACCTTTGAGACCCAGAACTCAGATAACCATTAGCAAATGGAGCCTGACCCTGCTGCCACAGCACCATGTAATACTTCAGTTCAAGCTGCAGACCAGCGAGAGCAAGGAAACTCAGCACATGCTGCTGACATTAACCACAGTCATCCTGCCCTGCTCTATTTGAGACTCCCTATTTTCATAGCCTCTGTTCCACCGTGACAAGCACCAGCGTACTTCTGTGCATAAGGTACTGTATACTCCCTGTGGAGTGGGAGTGGTGGCGATCAAATGGAACACCCACACCCAGCACGACCAAACATCAGCATCCAGACACAAAACTTAGCCCTGAGAGCAGTATCCCCTCTCCTCTCAGCTGAAGGCAATACTAAGCCCCAGTAGTGAAGGCACCTCTACTACAACTCCCCTATTTCTGAAAGCTGCAAGCAGGACCCTGGACATTTGACACTGGAAAGGAAGCTAGAGGCTGCACTCCTGCTGTGGCACCCATACATACAACCAGCCTCATCAAACCCTCTTCCCATGGGTCATTTGCAACACAGTGAGAAGGTCAATACAGACAGCACATATCAGCCCAGGCCTAGGGATCATGTACTCAGTAAGCAAGGCAAACATGCCTGTCTTTACTAGGCTATTTAGCATTTGTTCTAATCAATTAGATTTGATTACAGTTCTGGAAGCATTCTCTGACATTGGACCAACTGAAAGGGCAAGGAGAGCTGGTAGCATGTACCGGCAGGGCTGGTTTTCAACATCAGTGGAAGACTCCATTCACTCCAAAATCCATGGTAGCCAGTGTCTTCTCGAGGTCTGGCTCTCACTTGGATCTCATACTCAGTGTTCGCCTGGAGCTCCCATGGCAGGATCACCAGTGTCCGTTTATCTTCGTGGACAGCTTTAGTCTTCTGAGTCTGTGAACGATTAAACACCAAACACTCAGGGCTGGAGTGACTGCTCCTACCTCACCCTCACTGCTGCACAGTGAGGAGCCCTGCAAAGTAATCTCCTCTGCTTTCATGTTGTTTCTGCAAGGCCATGCTCTGGCTGGCCAGTAGCTGCATGGAACCCTGGGGGATCCTTCCATGCACGACAGCATGAGAAGCAAATGAACTATCAGCCTTCCCCACAGGATCTAGTACTTCTCAAATACCTTCCGCTTCTCGATTCTTTTTTCAGTTTTGCCTGTTTTCAGTCCAGGCAAGCAGAGAGACACCTTTTCTAAACCATGAAAAACCTTCTTCCACACCAGTGCTCCTGTCCTGCTTGTGCTGGCCTCCTCTGCTGGTACATCCTACTTGACGGTAAAATGACATCTCACTTACCTCCCAGGTGTCGGTCCTTCTCTTATAACGCAGCTGATATTCCAGCTCCTCATTTAAAAAGTAGAAAGGAGAGTTCTGGTAGATGGTTTCCCAAGAAATATTGTAACCCTCTGAGAACACAGCAGTCAGATTGAATGGAGGCTGTGGTTTGACTGGAAGACAGGATGGTGTTACCCTTCATAACATTACCGCAGAAAAGAGATGGCCCAGTATGGTATCAGCAATGCAGAGCAAGTAGGGAGCAAAACTACCCTGGCAAGGGTGGGCCCTCCTACACAGGACAACATCCACAATATTCCTGCCTCTCAGGCTGAGCAGTCCTGAGCCATGCACAGAACCTCACACCTCAGCAGCATAGTAAAGTCAGGCTCACATTTCTCTGAATATGCCTTCTGCCTCTCCCTGAACCTCTTCTTCACCTAAGGAACAGGAAGAGATAGCACAAGGGACTAATACCTCCTGCGAGATGCAAGGAGTAGAGCACCTTGTTCTTCTCTTGACAAAGGAGGACTCCGTGCAGCCATGGTCAGTTACAGTTAGAGAATTACCCCTCAATGTAACAAAGGCATCAGGAAAAGCTGAGGCTAGTGGACACTGCATAAACCCAGTGCAAATCCTTGGGTCCTAAGTGCCTAAAAGGCAAGCTTTTGTATCCCCTGCAGCGTGTTTTCATATATTGAAAAGCATTAATGCACAAACTCCAGCACTACTCTGCAGGGTCCGCCACTGAGCTGCGATGCTTCTGTATGGGGACATCTGGGAGACGTGCAAAGCACCACTACCCAATGTATAGTGTCTCAGTGTGGGCAAGGGGCTTTCCTGAAATGTTATGGCATTTGGCAAAAAGATGACACTTCTCATGTAAAGTTTAATTTCAGAAGAATCCGAGTAGAAAAATCCTTTTTCACACATTTGCATGGTACCTGTCTGCCTGGCTAACCAGCCCTTTTCTTCAGTTTGCTACACAACTCGGATTCCACCAAGTCAACTATAGAATTGCACCCAGTCTTCCTGTCATGCAGGAGAGATAGTTAGGAATTGCCCCAGAAAGGGGAACTGCCACCTCCATTGTGTCAGAGACACTTTGTGCCACCCACAATAATGTCACGTTGGTTCAGGTGTCCACTGCAAGAACCTCCTAGGACTCCCATGAGGATGTGTGTGGCATTTGCAATTAAAGCAATTCCTCCTGCCCTTTAGATTCTAGCCGAGGACAAACACTTGCATAGTCTGGTATGAAACTGATCTAAGGTGGAAATTTATCACCTCTTGCTTCATGGGGAAAAGGAATTTCCCTGTGAAAAGGCTGGGGCCAAGCCAGCTCTAAGCTCAGCCTCAAGCTTAAATGCTTCTGTAGTTTACAGTAGCAACAATAGGGGCACAGTGCTCTGTGTAGACAAGTGCACATCAAACATAGCCCCCCACCACTGGCTGCCACTCTCACTCCTTTCCCAGACTATACTGGCAGATAGACATAAGGTCAGACAGTATTTGTCAAATCCACTGTTTTCATACTTACTGTTCTCTGCCATATAAAAGTCTTTGGAAATCACGTGCTGCCTATCAGCTATCTCCGTAACATCCACCTGGACCTTGATATCTGCCAGGAGTACAGTCATGTCCACAGTGCACATGTACTGTGTGTGACTGGTGTTCCTGGACAGTTGTAGAAGACTGCAGGCAGCCACAGTATTTTCTGGATCTTCCTCAGGAACCCTAAAAACACCATAACAAACAAACAAGTCCACATCTACCACATACTGTAGTTGGACTAATCTGTTGCTGAACCACCAGGCATAGAAATTAACAAGAAAAAAAAAAAAAAGAGGCAACATGTTCAAATAAAAATTTATCTTCGACAGATTGTTGTTTTTTGGTTTTTTTTTTTTGTTTGTTTGTTTTTTTTTCCTTCTATTTGCTCAGCTTAGCATCTTTGAGAGAAGTAGGAAAGTGATGCTGAAGTGCTTGTAGAAAGGAAAGGTGCTCATCAGGGCTGCACAGCCCAGGACTGTGCCCACTTCCTTGCTGAGGCAGAACAGCAGCCATAGGGGGCTTGGACAAGCTGCGTGAGCCCTGTCAGCACACATGAGTGAAAGCCCATTGTTAACAGCAGCAAAGGGAAATGTATTCCCAGGGCAGGAGAGAAAATAATGCCAAGGAAGCCAGAGTCAGTGTAGCAGTCAGTGGCAAGCAGTGCAGTCAGCGGACACAGGAACCAGGCATCCTTTGCTAGGGGAGAAGCCAGCTGATAACTGGAGTGTGAAGTACCAAGTAAAAACCAGCACAGTGGCAAGAATAAGAGTTCTACCTAACAAAGAGGACAGAAGGACACCACTGTGCTATAGCCATGTTAGAAGT